CACAGGAGGCCACGCATACTCGCAGCATCACGTCCCCAAAGTCACAGGAGGCCACGCATACTCGCAGCATCACGTCCTCAGGGTCCCGGTGACATATCAGCTGGGCAGGTCACCTGTGGTTCAAGGGTGCTTCGACTCCAGCTTGCAGACACCCCTTGCACCAGAGTAGAGTAGAACCCAGTATTTTTCCATATATATTGAAGATAGATTCCAGTCCTCAAAGGCACCAAGCATCTGTTGCAGCCAAGCACTGGTTCAGTTAATTGTTTTGGCTGGACCAGTTTACCTCCTATGTTGTGGACTCAGTATTTTCTGGGTGTTGGAGTCCTAGGAGTTTGCTGGAGTTGCTCCTGTTCCGGGTCCTGGCCAGGTTTTGCTCAAACACACGATTTAGGTAAATTTAGCTTTCTGATCATTCATTTTCTTTTTGTGTTTGTTCACTGCTGACAGAAATCTGGTTAACCTGTAAATGCTGCATAGTATCATATCCTTATCTCAGATACCTGGGTGAATATCCAGGGCCAAAAATAGATAAACGTGTAAGAACTGCCCACAATTTACATAATCTGTGATATGAAAATACTTCCACCACTAATTTTAACAACAACAATACTAATAATAAATAAAAAGAATGGAAAAAAGAACATGATCATCATTGTAATAAAAGAAGTCTAGACTTGGGCCCCCCTCTCCAGAATCTGATGTCACGCTTTGGGCACCTGCTTAGTTTCAGACAGCGTTCAGTATAATGGTCAGGGAAAGAGAGCAGACAGTACCAGACTTGCAGTTAGGTGGCAGCAGAGTGCGGGTGTGGCGCTGCAATGCACTGGAGACCCAAGCAGGGGGTCCCTTCATTTTGCCGCATGTTTCCTTGGATTTTGTGACACCACAACCCTGCATTGCTTAAATATGGAAAATGGATGCATAAAACAGTTGTGTGGCTGAAGATGGCCCAGGTCTTTGGGATAAGCTTTTGTGGTTTGGCTGTAGAACCTTCCCTCAAAGCCCAGCAACAAGGTCCAGACCAGCAGTCATGTGTAACGAGCCCCACAATGAAGCCCAATCGCCGGCCCTCTGACTGAGCCACACTGTCAGCTCAAGGGTGCACAAGAAATGAAATCCTTCATGTGCTTCCTCATTTCTGCTGGTTCTCACAGAGACAAAAGGCTTGCAATTTACAATATGTGAAGCATTCTGGGAAATTCACATGTCAAGTAATGGAGAAAATAAAAGCAAAATAAGAAATTAGAAACGGCAACGGTAAAAGACAATTAAAATAATAATAATTTTAAACTACATATAAAAGACAATAAAATAAGAGTAAAAGAAAAAGCATCAGGAGGTAGAAGGTGAATAGGAGCCTGGAATTCCCATCTCCTCGCCACATATTTCCTGTTCCTGCTCCCATCAAAAGAGGAAACCTTTTTTGCACCGGGCCATTCAGTTCAGGTTGAACCTATGTGTTTGATTCGCATAATTATATATTTATCAACCGTGGAGTTTGTTTCATAACTGTACCTAGTTTATCTGTTTTGTGCCGATCCAAAGTGTCTTTCTGTGTTATTCAGATGGATATTCGCCTTGCTCAGATACCTTAATTCAGGGTCGAACAAGAGGGTTCCTGCTGAGATTTGAACTACTAGCTTGCACATTACAGAAATGTAAGATGAACTGATGTAAGTTTCTCCTCCTTCCCTCCTTCTTTCCTTGCTGCTGTACCACTGTTTGTCCTGCCATCTGAAGCAGCAGATGACCTGCCTGCCCTCTGCTTTGAGACTTAAATCTGTTCAGTGTATATTAGGACTTTGCCATCATGATCATTTGACTTCCTCTGCTGGTCCCTGGAGGATGGGCTCCCCCTTTGATTCTGGTTCCTCCCAAGGTTTCTTCCTTCTAGGGAGTTTTTCCTTGCCACTGTCGCCTCTGGCTTGCTCACTGGGGGCTTCCAGTCAGCTGCATTTTTATGGTTGAAAGCAGGGGGGGTGGGGGGGCAGTTAGGACAATTGCAAAGGCTCATGAGCGACAGGGGCCTTAAAAATTTGGAATAATATTATTGGTCTGGGTTGGGGGCTCAATATGACATGCTTTCATAACTTGCACGCATATGGGGTTCCTTCCTGGTTCTGCATGCGTAAGGGGTTCCTTCCTGGCTCTGCATGCGTAAGGGGTTCCTTCCTGGCTCTGCATGCGTAAGGGGTTCCTTCCTGGCTCTGCATGCGTAAGGGGTTCTTTCCTAGCTCTGCATGCGTAAGGGGTTCCTTCCTGGCTCTGCATGCGGAAGGGGTTCCTTCCTGGCTCTGCATGCGGAAGGGGTTCCTTCCTGGCTCTGCATGCGGAAGGGGTTCTTTCCTGGCTCTGCATGCGTAAGGGGTTCCTTCCTGGCTCTGCATGCGTAAGGGGTTCCTTCCTGGTTTTACAAACCAATCAGTCTACAGTATATCTAAATAGTCATTTTCCAGATGTTTTTCTTTTGACTGTTTTTGTAAATTGAAAATTTCTTATCATACTTAAACAAGTATGCAGTGGTTTGCACTGTTTCCTCACACCTCTGGGACCAGGGTTCATTATGTGGAGTTTTTATATTCTCCCCATGTCATCGTGAGGTTACCCCTGAGTTCTCTGGCTTCCCCCCACAGTCAAAACACATGCTGAGGTTAACTGGAGTTGCCAAATTGCCCGTATGTGTGAATGGCGTATGGGTTGGTGGCCCATCCTGGGTTATTCCCTGCCTTGTCCCCTGAGATGGGTTGGTGGCCCGTCCTGGGTTATTCCCTGCCTTGTGCCCTGAGATGGGTTGGTGACCCGTCCTGGGTTATTCCCTGCCTTGTGCCCTGAGATGGGTTGGTGGCCCGTCCTGGGTTATTCCCTGCCTTGTGCCCTGAGATGGGTTGGTGGCCCGTCCTGGATTATTCCCTGCCTTGTCCCCTGAGATGGGTTGGTGGTCCGTCCTGGGTTATTCCCTGCTTTGTGCCCTGAGATGGGTTGGTGGCCCATCCTGGGTTATTCCCTGCCTTGTGCCCTGAGATGGGTTGGTTGCCCGTCCTGGGTTGTTCCCTGCCTTGTGCCCTGAGATAGTTTGGTGACCCGTCCTGGGTTATTCCCTGCCTTGTGCCCTGGGATGGGTTGGTGGCCCGTCCTGGGTTATTCCCTGTCTTGCGCCCTGGGATGGGTTGGTGGCCCGTCCTGGGTTATTCCCTGCCTTGTGCCCTGGGATGGGTTGGTGGCCCGTCCTGGGTTATTCCCTGCCTTGTGTCAATCATTTTCGGAATAGGCTTTTGTGACCCTGCACAGCACAAGTGGGTGTGAAAGATGGATGTCTTAATTTTTTTTGCAGAATTATTGTAGGTTATTTATCACAGAACCTTATAGGCTCAGTTAAAAATGAGAGCCCTGCTGTGTAAATTTCCTCAAGAATCCATATACAGTGAGAAGTACTGCATTAACACAGCACTGTGCGCTTACCAATTCAGGCTCACTCAGTGGCTGAGGCCCCTTGAGTTGTGGCACTGCACTCCTCTCCCCTTGGAGGGTGTGTGTGGGGGGGTATTCTATGATAAGACCTCTGTGTTGAACCGGTGACCTTATCTGTTTCGGTGCAGGTGAGCAACCTTTGCTGCTGCAGGGCTTCACGCTCCCACTGGGCCCGCTGGACTCCTCTTAGGCATTACTCCCTTTAGTATTTAACTCTCTACCTGCTCATTTCAATGATGTGTTTTGGTTCTTCAGCCTCCTGGACTGTCAGCCGCTCTGCTTTTCTCTGCGCCTAAGCCGGACTGTCAGCCGCTCTGCTTTTCTCTGCGCCTAAGCCGGACTGTCAGCCGCTCTGCTTTTCTCTGCGCCTAAGCCGGACTGTCAGCCGCTCTGCTTTTCTCTGCGCCTAAGCCGGACTGTCAGCCGCTCTGCTTTTCTCTGCGCCTAAGC